GGAGGACTTCACAGGGATGAATCCCGACAGCATCTTCACATCAACAATCACCATGTTGGAGCTGTTGCGCTCCCCAGTGTAACTAAAGAACCAAGCAACAAAGGTTCAGCGCACCTCAAGGTGAAGCTGGGGGCACTTCCACCGTTTTTGTAACACTTGGCACCCCACCATGTCCTGACAGTCCAGCAACTTCTTCTCCATCAATGCCAGGGCCTCTTAAGCGTCCTAGGCCTCCTATGCAGCCTCTCACTACCCCAGCCCTGGGCTGTACATAAAGCTCCGTCACTGCAGGACATGTCCTTCCCCCACAGTCTCTCCTCCCAGCCCAGCAGCTTCCTGCCCACTTTTCCAGGGGATGCACTGGCTCCCCAGGGCTTCCAGACAGGCTCACCCTGGACCACCAGACCTCTTCCTCCAGCTCCCACGGCTTCTCAGGAAGGCTCAGACCCAAACGCAGACTCACCTGACATTTATGCCTATGTCAAAGACCTTGTGAGCCTTGGAGTCCACACATGTCTCTGGGATCGTGTACACATGGAGCATGAAGGGTGCATCCTCCTGCGTGGGCTGCACATTGTACCGCAGGCTTGTCTAGGGGAGAGCCAGCAGCTCTGTGTGAGTCTGTGTGCATGCGTGCTCAACACGTGAGAGAGATCGTCCTCTCCCCATCCAGCCGCCCCACTTCTCCCATTCTCACAGCTCCTCCACATTGCGGATCCTTCCCTCCTTCCCTCCCACTCTTTCTCCTCCACATACCTCTACTCTTTCTCTCCTCTTCCCTGTCCCAGAGCCTTCCCTCCCACTCCTCCGCTCTGCCCTGTCCCTTCTGCCCTCTCCCTGGCTCCTGCCTGGCAAGGGGCTCCCCTCCCAGGATGCCAGCTGCCCTCATCACCCTCACCTGCAGGTAGACGCATCCTTCGCCAGACACCTCCGTGCTGTACTCCCCTGGCACCTGGGGCAGGGCCACGCGCTGCAGCAGCAGCCGGTTTGTGGGATCCACTTGGAAGTCTTGCTGGAAGTCCCCTCCAGATCGCAGGGTCACTTTGGAAGCTGCTCCGCTCTTGGCGTAGGTTACAGCTCCGTACCGAGACAGGGCTTGGAGAGCCACCACTGTGTCCTGCAAGAGACGGGTCCCAGCGCGCGGGGGATACGGTCAGCCTTTCCACAGCCTGCCCTCCCACAGCCTGTCCCCTCCTGTTGGCAGGCACCCTCCCCTCCAGCCTTTGCTTTCTCCGCTGTCAAGTACAAGGACAGGGGAAAGAGCAGCTTTTGCATGTTTCCATCCCCTTCCTGTGTCCCCTGCACAGCAGTTGCATGTTCCCTGAGCTGCCTGGCCAGGAGCTCTGAGCAGCCTTCACTTGCTCGCCGCAGGATGAAGCAGCAACTTCATATGCACAAACAAATGGCAGTGGAAGCTCTCTCCAATGGCATGGACACGCGTCCCTTGTGTCTCCTCACCTGGGTGGAGGAGAAGCCTCCACTGGGATTCTGCTGACCAATGATCCACTTTGCAATGAGAGATGCAAATGACAGCTCCTCCTGTGAAGGTGCCGGCTGCGTGGTCAGGTGCGCAAGGAGCACGTAGGCTGTCATCTCCACTTCAGCAGAGGGAGCTCGGTAGCGATGGTACGGGAGATCAGCCTCTGGCTCTTTCCCAGGCCGCTGCCAATGAACAGACCCATCTTCAGAGGAGGCAGGGAGCGTGGAGACAAGACAACAAGCAATGATTAGTAGTTATTCCAAGGGTTATTCCAATTAGCAGTTATTCCAATTCCTGATCGGCTGCCGGTCCTGTTGAGAGGGCAGAGCCTCCGCAATGCATCTGTCATGTAGGATGAAGTGGGAAGACTTAGGCTGACACTTGTTGCAGGTTTACTACTAGTCTGAGACTGCTGAGGCTCAGTCACAGGCCTGGGTACCACTTTGGCCTAGTCTCCAGATTCACACAGACATTCATGGCCTCAGGCATCTCGAGGAAGAAGGGACCGAAGAAGGATGGCACTCCTTCCCTTTTTGAGTAGAGATGCCAGGGTCGGGCAGTGACAAGCTCTGTGTGGCAAAATGACCCAGCGACTGTGAGCAGGGCTTGATAGTCACCTGCAGGTGGAAAAGGCAAAAGGTGCTGGGAATATTTCCTTCACAGTCCTGCTACCCAAGGCTTGGGCAAACCCACTGTCCGGCCTGACTTTCCCAGAATGCTTCTGAGTCATTACGTGATTTCCTGAAAGACTCCGAGCTTATGCTATGGCTGCCGAAATGACCTGTATGTTTGTTTTCTTTCTC